TGGCTAAAGAGCCCTGGAACAACAATCATCATTCCCCAGGCAAAGGGTCTCCTTATCTTAAAAGCACCAGAGAAACGAGTAGTTTCTGACTGACCCATGGCCTAAGCCTCCTAGTTGCTCCAAGCACTTCTGGGCTCCTTCAGAGTTTCTAAACTAAAGAACTCCATGTGGGAGGTCAAATGCCCCCAAGGTTGAAGAGTTTATGCACAAATTCCTAAGAAATGGGAGAAAGGCACTGGGAAGGAGGTAGGGAAAAGGAGGCAGGTTTTAGGAAGGGGGGGTGGCCAGGGGAGGGCCAAACCCCTAGTGTAGCTAGCCTGCCCCTCGGCAATCAGTAAATATAAGCTGCACTGGGTGCTGAAGAAGCTACCAATCTCAGCTCCCCGGGCCACTGGAAAGCAACGTTTTCCTAATAGACTGTCACCAGTTAGGGAGGAAGGGAAACAGCTTCCAATACCCAAGGCACTGAAGAGCTGGCAGAGCCTCAAAGGGAGCCTCACCACGGTCAACCCAGGGGCCACCCACCAATCAGGTACAAATATTGATTATGTACTGTGAGCTTGAGTAGGTATTGAGTATGTGCTGTGAGCTTGATGCTCAGGGAGGGCTCTGTTGGGGGATGTGGGACTGGCGGACATTATACTTGGCACTTAATGCAAAATGAGAAGAATTACATGAAACCATAAACCGCACAATATAAATTGGGTAAAATTGTGTGGTGCAGGTTTAAAAACTACTATACTAGAAATTTGGCTGTGAAAGTTAGGCAGCCACTTTACGAAAGAGGTCGAACTGAAGCTTGGTCTTGACGGAACTAGTAGAACTTAGGGAAGGGAGATCCTCCTCCTCCGAAAAGAGGCGAAGGGAAGAAGGCACCTCACGTTTTTGAGGTGCAGCAAGAAGCCTGAACCTGAACCGAATGTAGTTGAGGGTGTGTGTTGTGGATTAGAAGAAATAAGGCTGGGATTGGGGTGGGGGGGGGGGAATCTCTAAATTCTGCAGAGAGCTGGGTGGCCCAAATGCTCTGTGGGGAATGGAGCACCTGCTGTGCTGAGATTCCAGCCCTTCAGCCTATTCTGAGAACCGGCTCTGGGCAGTGCGGGTCCATCCTGGGCTGGTGCTGTACCACTATCCCATAAACTCCACCGAAACCCGCACTCAAGGACAGAGGTGGAATGCTATTTCCCATTTGAACCTAGTTCTTGCCGGGTGAGGAGTACATCTCCCTGATACCCACCAGCCCCAGGTATCACTGCAAAACACACCGAGCCCTGGGAGGAGCACAGTACCAGGAACTTTTCCAGGGTGGGCACCCCTGTGCCCTCTGAAGTGGGTTATTACACATTATCTCCTACTGCCTGTACAGAGAAGTCTGGAGCAGAGGCTGTGCAGCTTGTCTTGAAGCGGGAAATGTGTGTGGTCTCCCCTCACACCCCACCCCCATCTCTACTTCTACCAGTAGAGATTCAACTTTCTTTGAGTCTCCAGGAATGCCCCTGCTGTGTCCCACCATCTTTTTACCTTTTATCTTTTTCTCTTTTTTTTGGAAATTATTTAAAGTTTTTCTTAAACTTTAATGACCTGGGAAATGAATCCCTGAAATGAACCCCACTGCTGTGGTGACACCAAATCCTAATCCCTAGATCAACGGGGACCAGCATCCTCTTAGACTAGACTGCTGGCCGCTGACCTCCCCTATACACACCTCATGCCCCTTTCCTGCCATCTCTGTCCCCTCCAGAACTCAATCCGCCACAACCTGTCCCTGCACAGCAAGTTCATCAAGGTTCACAACGAGGCCACTGGCAAAAGCTCTTGGTGGATGCTGAACCCCGAGGGAGGCAAGAGCGGCAAAGCCCCCCGCCGCCGGGCCGCTTCCATGGATAGCAGCAGCAAGCTGCTCCGGGGCCGCAGTAAAGCCTCCAAGAAGAAAGCACCCGTGCTACCAGCTCCACCTGAAGGTGCCACTCCAGCGAGCCCTGCTGGCCACTTTGCCAAGTGGTCAGGCAGCCCTTGCTCTCGAAACCGTGAGGAAGCCGATATGTGGTCCGCCTTCCGTCCACGAAGCAGTTCAAATGCCAGCACTGTCAGCACCCGGCTGTCCCCCTTGAGGCCAGAGTCTGAGGTGCTGGCTGAGGAAATACCAGCTTCAGTCAGCAGCTATGCAGGGAGTATCCCTCCCACCCTCAATGAAGGTCTAGAGCTGTTAGATGGGCTCAATCTCACCTCTTCCCATTCCCTGCTCTCTCGGAGTGGTCTCTCTGGCTTCTCTTTGCAGCATCCTGGGGTTACTGGGCCCTTACATGCCTACAGCAGCTCCCTCTTCAGCCCAGCAGAGGGGTCCCTGTCAGCAGGAGAAAGGTGCTTCTCCAGCCCCCAGGCTCTAGAGGCCCTGCTCACCTCTGATACACCACCACCCCCTGCTGATGTCCTCATGACCCAGGTAGATCCCATTCTGTCCCAGGCTCCAACGCTTCTGTTGCTGGGGGGGCTTCCTTCCTCCAGTAAGATGGCCACCGGCGTTGGCCTGTGTCCCAAGCCCCTAGAGGCTCCAGGCCCCAGCAGTCTGGTTCCCAACCCTTCTATGATAGCACCGCCTCCAGTCATGGCAAGTGCCCCTATCCCCAAGGCTCTGGGGACTCCTGCGCTCACACCCCCTACTGAAGCTGCAAGCCCAGACAGAATGCCTCAGGATCTAGATCTTGACATGTATATGGAGAACCTGGAGTGCGACATGGATAACATCATCAGTGACCTTATGGATGGGGGCGAGGGACTGGACTTCAACTTTGAGCCAGGTGCAGTACCCCCTAATCACCACAGCTCCTTATAGCCTATGTCCACTTGTAGGTGCCCAGCTAGTCCCCTCATCTAGGTGAAGGGGAGATTTAGGACAAGTGGTAGCCAGAGCTCCGAGGGAACTGGAGGGAGGATGTCATATTAGAGTAGCATAGTTTCGGGATGGGACCTCCAGGCCCCTCAGCTGTGCCTATCCCTGCAAGGTAGCACAGAAAAGGTGTGTGTGGAAGCAGGGGAGGTGCCACCATCTTCTTTGGTGGGAATCTGGATGGAAGAAAGTTGGCAGGCCCCAGATAAGCCTCTTACCTTGTTCTCTGTTTCTTTTTCCCACAGATCCCTGAGTCATGGCTGGAAGCTTTGTCCCCTGCTTCAGAGGTGGAGCCAGGCATGTCCATATCCATTCTATACCCTTGAGCCCTCCCCAGGAATTTGGGACCCTGCTTTAGAGCTAGGGTGGAGTCTGGTCACACACAGGTGCTGAGGAAATTATAAAGATAAAACTGCCCCATGTGGGGATGATGTGGGGAGGGAGATAAGAGGGGAATGGGGAGAGGGTTTTTCTCACTGTGCCAATTAGGGGGTAAGGCCCCCTCTCAGGAGCTATCCTCAGCTTTCCCCATCCCTACCCGCTAGGCTTTCTAATGAGATGATCAATGCTATTGGAAATGTGAAGTCACCAGTGGCCTTACCCCTGCCTTTGGGAGCAGGATTTTTTGTAGAGAGTCTTATCTGAGCTGAGCCAGGCTAGCTGGATCCTGGGTTTCTATGCAGTGGCCCCTTAGGCCAGTGGTGTGGGGTGGATGGGGGGGTTTAGGGGATCTGGAAGGGCCACTGGAGTGGCTCGCCAGGCCAAATCACCCTTAGAAGGCTGCAGATAACAGAAAGGCTTTTTATAAACTTTTAAAGAAATATGAAACAAATATAGAGATTTTTTTTTAACCGTGGCAGGGTGCTAGTGATGGGCAGAATGCTTTTTTTCTTTCTGAAGGCTTTGTGATAGTGACATGATACACTACAGATAGTAAATACTAGGAGAGCAGAGGGAAGTGGGGGAGAGGTGGGGAGTAATCATGAACACGGGGAAGAGCTCCCAGTTGGACTAGGTGTAGCGAAAGGTCTATGCAGAAATAGGTTGGAGTTTCCCTAAGAAAAAAGCTAAGCCAGCTCCCCTCATTCCTTCAACTTGTGCCTGGGAGTGTGTGGTGTTGGGGTGCAGCTACACTCTTGTATGATCCAGCATGGGTTAGTGCTACAGTGGGAGAGTACATTGAAGGCATGGAATTAGCTTGGGGCCAGGGAAGGGAATGGGAGGGGACAGAAGAGAAGAAGGGAAGGATTTAGGATGGTAAAGTTAGGTACAGAGACCTCCCTGTTCTGGGCCCCTGACAGCTGTCCCTGCCCTTCTTCCCCTTCCCTGTCTGCAGGGGTTATGTGGAAGTGTGTGGCGGCAGGCAGTGGGAGGGGAGACACAGGGAAGGGGGAGCGGGGGAGCTTGGCTGAGGGTCTGGGAAATGAGCAGGGATAGGGGCAATGTAGATCAGGTTTACTAGCACCTGCCAGTGAGGCCATCTGGGGCTCCTTCTCCACCCCAGCCCCCAAAGCAGCCCTTCCCCCAGTACCCTTTGCATCATCCCCTCCTCCACCCCTGCTGTGGGTTCCCATCATTTCCTGTGTCAGTGCCTGGCCTACCCAGATTGTATCATGTGCTAGATTGGAGTGGGGAAGTGTGTCAAATCAATAAATGAATAAATTCAATAAATGCCTATAACCAGCTCTGGTTTCTGCTGTCTTGCTGCTCCCCTTGGATAAGGGAGAAGGAGGGGGAAAGGCAAAGGGCTGGAGGAAGAAACTGCCCAGAGGCAGTGACGTGGAGGGTGGGGGAATTTCAGCCCAGGGAAGTGGTGGAGTGTGGGGGGGAGGGACACCTAACCCCTGCAGGAGTAGGCGAACTGTGAGATAGGCCTCCCTAGGGGAGGTAGTCTGGTTTGAGAAGACCCCACCCCCTACTCCTTCCCTCAAAGGCTCATTGTACTAGACTTCATAGCCTTCCTCACCCCCACCCATGTGCTTGCCCCAGCCCTCTTCTGCCATTCCCATCCACCCTCAGAGCCTCCTCAGTGCCTGGGGCTTACGTACTCAAGCCTTAGTGCAGATATTGGGAGACGTCTTTCTAGAAAAAGAAATCTCACACTAAATTCCAGTAATTTTACACCTTGTATTACTTGTTTTGCTTGGTGGGTTTAGGGAGTGGGCGACTTTTATCCTCTCTGAAAACTACTTTCTTCTTAGAGGTCAGAGGCTTAGACTTGAGAGCAGACTTCTTTTTGTCTTGTCCTGATAGCTTGGACTAGAAAAAGAAAGTAAGTAAACAAAGAGGCCCCTGCAGGGAAGGTTTCTACAACCCAGGGCCAAAGGAAGGAAAAAAGAAATTGGAGGCAGGAAATTCATCTCAGAGGGCTGGGATGGAGGAACATTCGGTTGGCTGGTGGGGAGAGCGAGCGGGGTGCTGGGGCAGACCACATTTGGTGAGTCTTACCGGGGTAATTGCAGAGGGTTCAATTCTAACGACCTTCTTGGCTTCTAACATTTTAAGCCTCTCAAGTCGGCTCCTCTCCAGGGCGTCACATTGTGTGCACAGTGTAACTAAAAACAAGGAAAAGGCACCTGCACCTCTGAGAACTAGAGACCTTACCCTTTCTGATGCTCCCATCCATTGTTCATATCATCAGCTGGAGCCCCACCTGGCCTAAGATGGAAATAATGGGATGGTGATAGGGAGATATACAGAGAAGATGGCCAAGAAATGGAGAAAGCAGAGCTGGACACGGTGGCTCTCGCCTATAATCCCAGCACTTTGGGAGGCCAAGGCAGGTGAATCACCTGAGGTCAGGAGTTCAAGATCAGCCTGACCAGCATGGAGAAACCCCATCTCTACTAAAAATACAAAATTATCTGGGCGTGGTGGCAGGCGCCTGTAGTCCCAGCTACTCCAGAGGCTGAGGCAGGAGAATCACTTGAACCCGGGAGGTGGAGGTTGCAGTGCACTCCAGCCTGGGCAACAAGAGCAAAACTCTGTCTCATTAAAAAAAAAAAAAAGAAGAAGAAGAAATGGGAGAAGCAGGAAGTAACGCATGCACATTACACCTGGTGTGAGCTAAACATCCCTCCTAAAGTGGACCTGGACCCTGCCCCCCTTTTCCTAGGCTCCTATCATCTGACCTACCATATCACACTAGTCCCACCCTATATTCTCCATCACACAGCTATATACTGTACCCTTCATATTCTTCCCTCCCCCATCTTGCTTCTTACCAAGCAGCAGGGGCTCCGGATTCTTGAGGAGAGGCACAAAAGCTTTGTAAGCAGGCTCGATCCTGGTTCCTATGAATATAGCAGTGTGTGAATATAGCCATGTACTATCTCCAGCCCTTGTCATCCAGTCTCCACCCTTCTGAAGCCCAAGATTCCAGGACCCAACACTAAAGACTACTTGCTGGGCGTGGTGGCTTACGCCAGTAATCCCAGCATTTTGGGAGGCCAAGGTAGGCAGATTACTTGAGGTCAGGAGTTTGAGATCAGCCTGGCCAACATGGTAAAACCCCATCTCTACCAAAAATACCAAAAAAAGAAAAATTATCCGGGCATGTAATACCAGCTCCTCAGGACGGTGAGGCAGGAGGATCGCTTGAATCCAGGAGGCAGAGGTTGCAGTGAGCCAAGATCAAACCACTGCACTTCAGCCTGGGCAACAGAGCGAGACTCCATCATAAATAAACTAAATAAATAAATAGACTACTTTGCCAGGCACAGTGGTTCACGCCTGTAATCCCAGCACTTGGGGAGGCCGAGGTGGGTGGATCCCCTGTGGTCAGGAGTTCAACACCAGCCTGGCCAACATGGTGAAACCCCGTCTCAACTAAAAATACAAAAAATTAGTAGAGCGTGGTGGCAGGCGCCTATAGTCCCAGCTACTCAGGAGGCTGAGGCAGGAAAATCGCTGGAACCTGGGAGGCAGAGGTTGCAGTGAGCCGAGATTGCACCATTGCACTCCAGCCTGGGCAACAAGAGCAAAACTCCTTCTCAAAAAAATAAATAAATAAATAAAGACAAAACAAAAAAAAACTACCTTGAGCTGGTGGATCTTATTTCTTCCCCTGAGGTGTGGATCTAGGAGAGCGTATGTGTGAGCCTAATCTATTGTTACAGAGGCAGTGCCCTTCCTTAGGCTGACTAGAGATGGTCAGTTTGGATCTGGTTGAGGGTGTTCTGTTTTTGTTTTAATTTGGTTTTGATTGTTTTTGGTTTTGGAGGCAGGGTCTCATTATGTTGCCCAGGCTGGTCTCAAACTCCTGCCCTCTATCGATCCTCACGCCTCGGCCTCTCAAAGTGCTGAGATTATAGGCATGAGTCACTGTGCCCAGCCTTGGATGCTCTGTTTTAAAGATAAGGTTTATAATCTATCTTGAAGGCCTTGTTTTATTTCTGGGGAGCACTCCCAAGACTCTACCTGGTGGCCCACGCACCACCTTACAAACATAGTAGGTACTTCGAGCTGTAAGGTATTTGCTGGCATAGTCTGTATGGTTGGGCTTCATCTGAAAAAACATCTTCATCATCCCTGCTTCATCACACAAATCGATGGTGCCTGGAGGGAGACCACAGGGTAATTGGGGCAGCTAAGGAAAGAGAGTGGGAGTAAAAGGGACCAGTGATCTTATACAGAATGGGTTGGAGGAAGCTGTAAGTATATGAGGAACTCCCTTCTTGCCAGGAGGAGGGCTTGGGGATTAGAGATAACCAAGCTACTTCTGACCTTTGGCCATTAGTCCCCTCCCCAATCTCCTCACTTGTTTTAGGCAACTGTAGTTTTTTGCGGATGTAATACAGCATCACGGTGACAGAGCAGTTGGTATTGACCAGAAACTGCTGATCATCTGAGAAGAGATGGAATGGGACACACGTGGGCCCATTTCTGTGATCTCCACTGCCCTCAGATCCCTCCACCCCCATCCACAGACTCTAGTTCTGTGCTTCCCCTCACCTCCATGTTTGATGTAGATGAACATGCCCTCAAGATCGCCTCACTGATGAGTCATGCAGAAGGATGGTGTTCTAGAGGCCTTGCGTGGGGCAAATAGGTCTATAGGATTGGTGGACTGGAGAGGCAGATGGGTTTCATAGGCTGAGGATGTCCAGGCTGGGCAGCTAGGAGAGAGCTGTTGGTAGTTGTGGATAACCAGCATCCCCAGGGGTGGGGCCTGAGGCTGCAGTTGAGGGATTATGAGGTCAAAAGTGGCAGGTGTGGTCAAAAAGTGGAGTAAGGATAAGGAGAGAAAAACTTGGGTAGGGTATGTAAAATATTAGTTGGAAAGTGGGCGCAATATGGTAAGTGTTGTAAGTCTAACTCTTTTTTTTTTTTTTTTTTTTTCAGACAGACTCTCCCTCTGTCGCCCAGGCTGGAGTGCAGTGGCTCAGTCTTGGCTCACTGCAACCTCTGCCTCCTGGGTTCAAGCAATTCTCCTGCCTCAGCCTCCCGTGTAGCTGGGATTATAAGCACACGCTACCACTCCCAGCTAATTTTTGTATTTTTAGTAGAAACAGGGTTTCACCATGTTGGCCAGGCTGGTCTCGATCTCCTGACCTCATTATCCACCTGCCTCAGCCTCCCAAAGTGCTGGGATTATAGGCATGAGCCACCTCACCCAGCACATTGTAAGTCTAACTCTAAACTAAACCCTGGAATGAGTGCAGGACACCTGGAAAAAAGTCAGTTTCCAGAACAGTACTCTTTTTCTAGCGAACTGGTAACACTCCTGCTTCCACAGCATGAATATACTACTCCTATTTCTTCCCCTCCCACCGTCATTGCATCCCATGTTTCCCCTGCTCCCCACCCCCATGACAGACATTTTTGATGATTATCAACAGAAACTTTATTTTTCATTGGTTCAAGAACAATCGGAGGGTAGATGGAAAGAGGAAGGGAGGGAAAGAGGGAGGGAGGAAGAATCCTGCAAAAAGGAAGGGTCAGATTGGGGGAGATGAAAAACATGTACAGGGCAAAAGGACAATTCTCAAGTGGGGGTTACCAAATGCGGGGGCGCTTACATGGGAGCACAAAATTCCAAATCAGCCACAGGGAGGTGAGATGAACATGGGACACAGATGGCTTAAATGAACGGAAGTTAGTACCACTTAGGGCTATGGGACCCTGGGGTTCTTCTGTCAGAGGATTGGGGTTCAGGTTTCAGGCTTTGGGGTGTAACTTGGTGGGGCCCAGTAGGGGCTATGCTGGTTGCATGGGGAGGCCCCAGCTCCCTCCCCGAGCACCCCTCCTTTTGGGGGAATCTCACTGACGAGGCAGAGTCGTTCACTGTAGTCTGGCTGCAGACTCTCAGCCAGTCCCTTAGACACACCACTCCAGGCCTAAAGACAGATATGTCCAGGTCAGGGGTCAATTAGGGGCAGGAAATAAAACACCAAGCTCTGTGCCAAAGGAGTGCTTGTGATGTCTGCAACCACTGTGATTGATTACAGAAGGGATACACAGACTCCTGGGCCCCTAGTACCACTGTTTCCATCTGCCTCGCTCAATCTATAATCTGCACTTCAGTATGTGTCTCTCTCTGTATCGTGTGTATAGAGAGACAGTGTGTGTCTCTCCCCCATTTGGTCGGCCACATCCTGACAGTTAGTGCAGGGCCTCCTTCCCTCTTCTCTCTGCCCCCACCCCCACACTTTGTCTGTCTTGCTGGCAGGCAGTTGGCAGTTGATAGACTGCAGCATGCTTATGACAGCGTTCTTACCGAAAAGTTCCCGTGGTATTCAGTAACAAGATCTTCTAGGTTCTTCAGGGTGGGAATTCGGGGCATTGTCCTGACACGGGAGAAAGAGGGAGCAGGAGCACATAGGTTAGAGCTCTTTTATCACCCTTCTCCAGTTGTCCCATATGAAATAAAGTGATCCTGTGTTCTCTATGCCTGTGGCTTCCTTCCATCACCAAATCCTCTTGGCTAATCTCTCATTCCTTACTGTCCTGTCCTTTACTCCTAGAGAGCCTGCAAAACCCTCCTCTGCTATTCTCAGCCACCGCCTCCCTCATTTTTCTGGGCTTCTCCAAATCTCACCGTTCCAGCCAGAAATACACACAGAGAAGGCTGATAATCAATCCCATGGAGCCAACAGAGATAACCACAGCTTCCAACGCAAACAGGAAAGGATTCTCTATAGAAACAAGAAAAGCAAAGTGGACCTTATATTTGTCATGCCCCTACTACATGCCAGCCTTTGTGGAGCCCCAACTTGGTGGCAGGCACTGCGCTAAAGACATACTCTCTGTTTAATCCTCAAAGCAGCTCCTGTGAGACAGGAACACTTATTATCTCCATCTTATATCTCAGGAAGCTGAATCAAAGAGTTTAGTGATGTGCCTAAGGCCAAAGAGGTGGTATGTAGTGGAGTCTAGATCCAGCCGGTTCCAAAGCCGTCTTCAACCTTGCAGGCTCTCTAGGAATGCTTCAGGGAAATCCTATACATTCTATAGGCCCCTTGAATACCCCTCAGCCTCCTTCTCAAACCACCCCCCTACTCTAACAACACACTAACCCAACTCTACACAGAAAAACCTTGATTTCTAGAGGTTGGGGTTGGGCAGTGTGGGGACATGAGGCACCAAGTTTGGGGGCTTTAGTGATAGGGAAGTGGAGCAAAAGACAGTGGTGTTAGAAAGGCTGGGGTATAGGGGAGGGACAGTGGGGGGTGGGGAGTTGGGGAGAGATAGCATGGGGAGAAATGCCAGATATAGGTGAAGGGGAGGAAGGCAGCAAATCACACTGCCACGTGTGTACATATGCAACAATCTTGCATGTTCTTCACGTGTACCCCAAAACCTAAAATGCAATTAAAAAAAAGAAAGGCTGGGGTGTTGGGCTTATGGATTGGGATCATGTGGGCCCATTTTACCCTTTGAAGTGTTGCTACCCCAGTGGATCAGGTGGCTCCATTCACTCCAATGCTGAGTACTTCCACAGAGTGGGTTAAAGCGGCTCCGAACACGAAACGTGTAGTGTTTCTGCCCATCCACACTAGGCAGGGAGAAGCTATGACTGTGGCCTACTGATTGTTCCTTGAGGAAAAAGAGGATAAAGGAAAGTGGGTGTCTATAAAAGAAGAGAGAATTAAAACATACGCCTGAACACCCACCAGTGTCATCTCTGCTACTTCCCAGTTTCTCTCTTCTCTCTTGACTACTCAAGCCACATTGTTCCCTTCACTGACTTGAATCTAAAGTCTCCACTCCAGATCCCCTTAATGGCTTCCTTTTGTTTACTTGTCTATCTGGTATCAGGAAGAGTATGGGTAGTGAATCCCTAATGAAAACTCACTGGTATCAGGTACAGTGGCTCACGCCTGTAATCCCAGCACTTTGGGAGGCTGAGACGGGCAGATCACCTGAGGTCAGGAGTTTGAGACTAGCCTGGCCAACATGGCAAAACAGAGTCTGTACTAAAAATACAAAAATTAGCCAGGTGTGGTGGTGCATGCTCATAGCCCCAGCTACTCGGGAGGCTGAAGGAGGAGAATCACTTGAACCCGGTAGGCAGAGGTTGCAGTAAGCCAAGATCGCACCACTATACTCCAGACTGGGCAACAGAGTGAGGCTCCATCTCAAAAGAAAAAAAAAAAAAGAAAACTCACTGGTGATGATAGGGAAAGGAGTTGGAGGAGGGAGGGCAAGGGGTAAGCAGAGGAGCTGTGAGGCAGAGAACAGGAGCTTGATATTAGGTCCTCCTATCTGGCTGGTTGAATCCTTCAGCCCTACTTGCTTGGCCTTAGCTGCTACATTCACATCCTAGTCACTCACAGTCCAGGTGTGGTCCCAGTCAGTCCGGTACTGCACCAAGTGCTCCAAACAGTGGTTCAAGAATCTGTTGTTCCAGTTCAGTTCTAGCTGGGATTCACTCAATTTGCGAAGTGTTAGGTTCTCTGGAGCCCAGGGGATCACTGGAAATATGTGTGCATATATGATCATTCCCCTGGCCTAGACAAGCCAGGATCCTGAAGGTAGTGCCCCTAATACCTCCTCCCTTCCCATCCCAATCCCCTATCTCCACTTTTCTGCCCATGTACCCTTATTTTTTTCTTTTTATTTACTTTTAGATGGAGTCTCGCTCTGTAGCACAGGCTGGAGTGCAGTGCCGCCATCTCGGCTCACTGCAACCTCTGCCTCCCGGGTCCCGGTTCAAGCAATTCTCCTACCTCAGCCTCCCAAGTATCTGGGATTACAGGCATGAGCCACCATGTCCAGCTAATTTTTGTATTTTTTAGTAGAGACAGGGTTTCACCATGTTGGCCAGTCTGGTCTTGAACCCTGTCCTCGCGATCTGCCTGCCTCAGCCTTCCAAAGTGCTGGGATTACAGGCATGAGCCACCGCACCCGGCCCCCTGTATCCTTATGATAAAAGAACACTACTCCGTAGACTCCAATGCCCCACAGTATCCCTGGTCTGTTGACCCTTTCCAAATTACCCAGATTCTGCAGTTTTAGCATCTGTGTGGCCTGTCTCCTGGGTTCCCGTGGGTCCTGGAGCTGAACAACAAATGTTTGGTAGAGGTGGATCTCCTTTTTTTGCAACTGACAGCCAGAAGTGATTTCTTCAGCAAATAGATAGTGGCTGCACTTCTGGACTTTATCATTATCTGAGTTCTTGTACCTAGAGAAGAAGGGTTGGAAGGAAGAGGGCCAATCTGGGTACTGCAGATATCCAGAGCCTAGCCTCATCTCCCCTCAACCAACTTATGACTTACCCGAGGAGAAAACAGTGGGGCACCTGGGAGACTTGCTACCCTCTTTCTTGGTCTCTGATCCAACCCACCTCTTGTTCCTCCCCTCCCACCTTTTCCCTTCTCATACCAATAGTGCAGAGTAAGGTTGGTAGGCTGGGGCTCAGAGCTGCTGTTCCAAGTGCAATTCATGTACTCGACATTGAACACAAAACACTGAACCTCTGGGAGGGGCAGAGTGGAAACACTGAAGGAGTCAGTGGGCATAGAGGTCAGGAAGAAATCTAGATTGGGGAGAAAATGAAGGCAGGGACGGAAAGAGAAGAAATGATGGTCAGAAGGAGGCTGAGCATGGTGGCTCATGTCTGTAATCCTGGTGCTTTGAAAGGCCGAGGCAGGAGGATCACTAGAGGCCAGGAGTTTGAGACCAGCCTGGGCAACATAATGAGACCCTGCCTCAAAAAAAAAAAAAAAAAAAAAAGAAAGAAAGAAAAAAAAATGAAAAAGAAGTAGCGTGAGGCAGGGAATCCTCCCCCTTTCCCTTCCCACTCTACTTTTTAATTCTGCCCACATGACTGTAATGGCCAGTGGCAGGTTCCAGATTTTCCAGATTTCTGTACAGCCCCCTCCCACAGCCACCCTTCTCACCAACCCTCTCCAGTCCCAGATTTCCCACCAGCTGTGGTGTCTTCATTCCCATTGGGTGTCAGAATTGTGTTCAGCCCCACTCCTAGCAGGGGCAGCTGCAGGAATAAGAGAGATCTGAATGGTAATAATGCCTTCAACATGGTGCTCGCTCTTCATTCCCTGGGTGTCGTCTGTCTGTGTCAGGAACCTTGGTTCCTCACCCACTACCCCTCCCCACCCACACATTTCCTCTGTCATAGCTTCCGGTGGAAAGAACCTCATAAACCAGGGCTTTAAAGAGGGTGTGGCAAATGTGTGCTGTGTAACACAGGCTAAGTTATCTGGGAGATTAGGTGCTGCTGTAAGGTATTAAATAGAAACTAAGGCTGGGTATACAATAGTGTCACAGAGTCAAAAATCCTCAGCCTACCTGGATCCTGGGAAGGATCTGTTCACTACCACTAGCACCGTTCTCAACCACCTTCTCCTCTAAATCATTATCTTCCATAAAGGAGGTTCTGAATCCCTACCCCCAACACCACCATCCTATGCTATGCTTCTTCCTTGACTCAGTCAGCCTTAAATCTCTGTCAAAGCTGTACTGTCTTGGGAGAATGGAAAATACTGTCTTGGCTCCTGTGGGCTCATATACAACTGTCTTTCCTCTGATCTAATCCAAACCAGAATACCCATCCTTAGCTGTTGCCTGAGCTGGGTCCCTGTTGAAACTGGTAAGGAGGTGTGACTTATAATAGAAAAAGATTCTAGAAATGGAGGAACAACAATACTAGCTTCAAGCTTCCCATCTTCCCCCCAACTCTGCTTCTCTTCATGCCTTCCGTACCTTGGTCAATGGTATCATCACCCTCTCAGTCACCCAGACTTGAAACCTCAGAATTAGCTTCAATTTCTCCCTCTCTCTTGCCCAGAGAATATAATCCACTCTGCTTCTGTGGTGTTTCTCCTAACAGTTTCCTCCTTTCCATTACCATAGCCACTCTGCTAAATCAGTCTTTCATTAGCTCTAGTCATGACTACTAGACTCCACCAACCGGCCTCCCTTTCTAAAGGCCCTCTGCTTTCTAATCCATTCTTCATCCTGTTGCCAGATTTACCTTCCCCCAAAACTCAGAGCTGATTGGAGAAACTACTTACAGAAACTATTTATTCAGGAAACACTTATTAAGTTTTTAATACGTGCCAGGCACTATGCTTATGTTCTGGAAATAGACCAACAAGACATCCTCATATTTCTAGATGCTCATAGAAAAGTGGGGAAGACATAAACAAGTAATACAATTAGTGTACAAGTCCTATAGCATAAATGTAGAGATACTACAAAGTATGTGAGCACAGAAGAGGAAGTAACTAAATTTACCAAGGTGGAGAGAGGAGTAACTTAGTGAAGTCTGTGCTGAAGAGGTGCTATTTACAGTGGCATCTTAAAGAACAAGCGTAATTTTACCAGACAGAAAATGGGGTAGGATATCAAGCAAAGAAAAAGAGCACTAGCCTGGGAGTCTCAGGAAAACTGGACTATAAGGCCCAGGATGTATTATTAGTTTGCCAGGGCTGTCATAAGTTATCTCCAAACTGAGTGGCTTAAATCAACAGAAACTTATACTCTTGGCTGGACCTGGTGGCTCACGCCTATAATCCCAGCACTTTGGGAGGCCAAGGAGGGCAGATTGCTTGAGCCCAGGAGTTCAAGACCAGCCTGGCCAACCTGGTGAAACCTCATCCTTACTAAAAATACAAAAATTAGCCAGGCAGTAGTGGTGCATGCCTGTAATCCCAGCTACTCGGGAGGCCGAGACATGAGAATCGCTTAAATCTGGGAGGCAGAGGTTGCAGTGAGCCAAAATTGTGCCACTGCACTCTAGCCTGGGCAACAGAGTGAGACTCCATCTCAAAAAAAAAAAGAAAAAAAAAAAGAAATTTATTCTCTCACAGTTCTGGAGCCCAGAAGTCTGAAATCAGTGTGGCCAGTGTTGGTTCCTTCTGGAGGTGCTGAGGAAGAAGTTGTTCCATGCCTCTTTTCTAGCTTCTAGTGGCTGCTGATCTTCCTTGGTGCTTCTTGGCTGGTATACATATCATTCCAATCTCTGCCTCCATCTTTGCACTACCTCTTCTTCTCTGCATCTCCTTTATCCTCCTCTCCTCTTACAAGGACACCTATCATTGAACTTATGGCCCACTCTAATCCAGGATGTTCTCTCCTAGAGAGCCTTACCTTAATTACAGCTGCTAAACGCCTTTTGTCAAAGAAGGTGACATCCACAGGTTCCAAGTGAACATATCTTTTTGGAGGCCACATTCAACCCACTACAGGGGACATTCTCCAACTTAAAAGTCTTCAAAAGCTACTCACGGCCTTCAGAATAAAGTCCAAGCTCCAATGATCAATTCCAGCCACATTGGATATGTCACACACATTTACTTACTCTGGAATTAGCCTCTTCCTAACTTTCTATGGGGTAAAATCCTTCAGAGGGCAAAACCCCCTCTCTACTAAAAACACAAAAATTAGCCACATTTGGTGGCACTCACCTGTAGTCCCAGCTACTCAGGTGGCTGAGGCACAAGAATCACTAGAACCCAGGAGTTAGAGGTTGCAGTGAATTGAGACTGCACACTGCCCTCCAGCCAAAGTGACAGACCAAGACTCTGTCTCAAAAAAAAAAAAAAAAAAACCTTCAGGGTTACACACCTGTTAGAATAGCCAAAATTGAGGCCGGGCACAGTGGCTCATGCCTGTAATCCCAGCACTTTGGGAGGCTGAGGCAGGTGGATCATAAGGTCAGGAGATGGAGACCAGCCTGGCCATGGTGAAACCCCATCTCTACTAAAATTTAAAAAAAAAAAAAATTAGCTGGGCGTGGTGGCGTGCCCCTGTAGTCCCAGCTACTCAGGAGGCTGAGGCAGGGGAATCGCTTGAATCTAGGAGATGGAGGTTGCAGTGAACCGAGATCGTACCTTCACTCCAGCCTGACGAAAAAGCAAGACTCTGTCAAAAAAAAAAAAAAAAAAAAAAAAAAAAAAAAAAGCCAAAATTGGCTGGGCAAGGTGGCTCAGGCCTGAAATCCCAGCACTTTGGGAGGCTGAGGCAAGTGGATCGCTTGAGCCCAGGAGTTGGAGACCAGCCTGGGCAATAAAGCAAGACCCCATCTCTTGTTATTAAAAAAAAAAAAAAGAGGCCAGGTGCAGTGGCTCACACCTGGAATCCCAGCACTTTGGAAGGCCAAGGCGGGTGGATCATTTGAGGTCAGGAGTTCAGGACCAGACTGGCCTATATGGTGAAACCCCATCTTCCTAAACATACTCTTTCAGCAATCATGTTCCTTGATATTAATAAAGGAGTGGAAGACTTGTGTTCACATAAAAACCTGAAGACAGATGTTTATAGCAGTTTTATTCATAATTGCCCAAACTTGGAAGCAACGAAGCTGTCTTTCAGTAGGTGAGTGGATAAACTGTGGTACATCCTGAAAATGAAATATTATTCAATGCAAAAAGAGACGAGCTACTGGCTGAGAGCGGTAGCTCGCACCTGTAATCCCAGCACTTTGGGAGGCTGAGGCAAGCAGATCACTTGAGCTCACGAATTTGAGACCAGACTGGCCAACATGGCAACACCTCGTCTCTACTAAAAATACCAAAATTTGCCAGGTATGATGGTGCGGGTTTATAATCCCAGCTAGTGGGAAGGCTGAGGCAGGAGAATCACTTGAACCCAGGAGGTGGAAGTTGCAGTGAGCCGAGATCACGCCACTGCATTTTATCCTGGGTAACAAGAGCAAGACTCCGTCTCAAAAAAATAAATAAAATAAATAAAAATAAAAATATCCTTCAGTTAGTTTAAATGTTACCTCAGCCTCCCGAGCAGCTGGGATTACAGGCACCTGCCACCCTGCCAGCTAATTTTTGTATTTTTAGTAGAGATGGGATTTCACCACGTTGGCTAGGCTGGCCTTGAATTTCCGACCTCAGGTGATCCGCCCTTCTTGGCCTCCCAAAGTGCTGAGATTACAGACCTGAACCACTGCTCCCGGCCTTGAATTAATTTTTCTTTCCATTGTGATTCAACAGCATTTTGTTATTTTTGTTACTGGTGTTATTTTTGTTTCTTGTTATTTGTTACTTTTGTTACAGCACACGGCTGTCTTTTCTCTAAAAGGCTCGCCTGTAGTCCCGGCTACTAGGAGGCTGAGGCGAAAGGATGGCTGGAGTCCAGGAGGTTGAGCCTGGGCAACAGAGGGAGAACGTGCCTCAAAATAAATAAATAAATGGCAATACGATAATAGGATATTGGCTCTGGAATCGAAAATCTTAGTGCTGGCTCTGTTACTCAGTAGCTGTATAATATTGGGTAAGTGAATTTTCACACTTTGAAAACCAGCTTCCTCATCCGCAAAATGGAGCCAATAATAATCCCTAACTCCTGAGACTGTGAGGAGATTAAAGGAGATAATGTCTGAAAAGCACCTGACACAGTAGGTGCCCCTTTCGCTAGACCAAGGGTTCTTAACCTGGAGTTCATGGACCCTTAGGGGATACATGGATGAATTTCAGGGGATCTAAGAATCTCCTTGGAAAGTAACATTTTGCATGTCAATATATGCATTCTGAGAAGGTCCATAGCTTTCATCAGCACCTTTAAGGGTTTGTGAATCAAAAAAGTTAGTCTGTGGTACCCTTGGGCAGAAAACACAAAAAAAGGTTAGGTAACTCGATTGTAGACCTTGAGGGATTAGAGCCAGCCTTTCAGGGTTTAATAGGTTCTTTCTTATGCATACATAGTTTCTAATGTTCACAATAGCCCCTTGAAGGAGGTGTTAGCGCACCTATTTTTCAGATGCCAGAACTAAGAAACGAAGTAATCTGTAATAGATGGAGTTTCTAACCAGTGCAAACATTATTTAAAACTTGTCTAGGCCAAAACTGAGCTAGGCTCTGGGAACCGAATTCCAGTCAGAACTCAGCACCACAGAGGCCTCCCTCTTCCCTGGTTTGCATCCCCAGCTCATTCCGCGCCTCCGGAACGTTTCATAGGTTTTTGCTGAGTTAAATCGACTTGCCGCCGCCACCGCCGAAAAGCTCCCGAGGCACAGAGCTCCGCCCCCACCGCGCCAGGCCCCACCCCCTCTGTGGTCGGTATTGTCCGATTGTTCCCGGCGTCCCTCGGCTTCCCTCGGTAGTTTCCGGCAATGGTCGAGAGTTTCTAACGTGCCCCCTTGTCTCTCGGCCGCCGTCCTCCCAACCACCGCCCCCCTTTTCGGCTCCCTCTCCCGGTTCCCGCTCCCCTAGTCAGCCTGGCCCTGCTGGCGCCTCAGGCGCTACGGGCTGGTCAAGATGGCGGCCTTCGGGATCTTGAGCTACGAACACCGGCCCCTGAAGCGGCCGCGACTGGGGCCTCCCGATGTTTACCCTCAAGACCCCAAACAGAAGGAGGTGCGTTCGATAATCGGGGCTCTGGAGGGGCCGGGGGCACGCGATCAGCCTAGGAGGAGGCATTGACGGCCAGGAAGGGGGGGCGGGGCGGTTCGGTGGGAACCAAAGTATTGAAAGGGGGAAGAGTAAAGTGGGGTGGCGTGGGAGGGCAGAACAGGGGGCGGTGGGGGGGTTCCAAGGTATGAATAGGGGGTGATGTAGGGGGCCGCACCAGAGGCGCCCTCCTCCACACACACCTCAGAAAGTTGTCTGAGGCAGCTTGGTGGGGTACGGCTGCTCGCAAGAAAAGAGTGATGTTTGAGGGTGCGTTGGGTGGCTGGGAATCATAGTGACCAAAGGGGTGCGGGTGGGGTCCAAGTGAATGTAAGGGCCCAGCTGTAAGTAACAATCTGTTCTACACGGAACCCTCCTCCCCGCCTGTCCCCTTGTTCCTTCGTTTCTCCTGCCCTCCTCTCCCACCACCTCCCACTAAGGAAAACAAAACTAAATGACGCTTTCCTGCCTCAGGATGAACTGACGGCCTTGAATGTAAAACAAGGTTTCAATAACCAGCCTGCTGTCTCTGGGGATGAACATGGCAGTGCCAAGAACATCAACTTCAATCCTGCCAAGGTGAGACAACTCTGCCAGGCTGAAGGAAAAGGCTGGAAAAATCTGAGAAGGAGCAAAGGCCCTGGGTTGGGAAGACTTAAAGGGACAACCTAAGTGGCTGAGTTTACCTTCATGACTTAATGATATCTCATTGACATTTGACCATCAAAAGGCAGGACCACCTGTCTCCCCTTCTTCTCACCCTGAGGTGCAGTTTTCTTCCCTCAGATCAGTTCCAACTTCAGCAGCATTATTGCAGAGAAGTTACGTTGTAATACCCTGCCTGACACTGGTCGCAGGAAGCCCCAAGTGAACCAGAAGGACAACTTCTGGCTGGTGACTGCACGATCCCAGAGTGCCATTAACACTTGGTTCACTGACTTGGCTGGCACCAAGCCACTCACACAGCTAGCCAAAAAGGTGAGGTACTGTTTCCTGTCCTTCAGGCCAAGGAGGGAGCATGAGGTACCAAGTACCCTCCTATTCCCATATTAAGCTACATGGGTATCAGCTCATGGGGTTAATAGAGACCTCACTATTTGCAATGTCCATCCAGGTCCCCATTTTCAGTAAGAAGGAAGAAGTGTTTGGGTACTTAGCCAAATACACAGTGCCTGTGATGCGAGCCGCCTGGCTCATTAAGATGACCTGTGCCTACTATGCAGCAATCTCTGAGACCAAGGTTAAGAAGAGAAATGTTGTTGACCCTTTCACGGGTGAGTAACTCCTAACACCAGGTATACTGCTGATGGCTTCAAGGAGTGATAGAGACACCCTTGGAACCATCCTCCTTCTTAATCTAGATTCCTTGTTTCTGCTTGTTTCTTGCATTCGCTTGATCAGTAAACACTGAGAAATTTGAATATCTACTTTGTGCCTATACTGGGCTACAAAGATGTCCAGTGCATAATCTCTGCCCCCAGGATACTGGTAGTCTAGTAGGGCTACTAAGACATATGTACAAATAACATAATCAAATATAGAAAGTGGTGAATGTCAAGCCAGGAGGCAGAAGGTTCTTTGAGTGGACAGAAAGATTACTTTCTTATGGGGATACCTGGGAAGGCTTTAGGAAGGTGGGATTTGACTAGAGACTAAAAGGATGAATCACATTTACAAATACGGTGATTGGGGGTGGAGGTACGGTATTCTAAGTAGAAGGATATTCTCATCAGAAGGATAGTATCAAATAGCCCTTTTCCCCTCTTTCCTCCAGAATGGACTCAGATCATCACCAAGTACTTATGGGAGCAGCTACAGAAGATGGCTGAATACTACCGGCCAGGGCCTGCAGGAAGTGGGGGCTGTGGTTCCACGATAGGGCCCTTGCCCCATGATGTAGAGGTGGCAATCCGGCAGTGGGATTACAATGAGAAGCTGGCCATGTTCATGTTTCAGGTAGGGAGTAGGGCATGTTGTGTGGGGCATTGGGTTGAGCCTGAACTTGTACTCTGCCAGCAGAGAACAGAATCTGCCTGCCACCTTGCCCCAGTTGTGGTTCTCTTCATCTTTTCATTTACTTTATCTGCCTCATCTCCAATAGTCCCGTGTTGAGCTAATACTCTTCCCTCCCTGGTACCCATAGGATGGAATGCTGGACAGACATGAGTTCCTGACTTGGGTGCTTGAGTGTTTTGAGAAAATCCGCCCTGGAGAGGATGAATTGCTTAAACTGCTGCTGCCCCTGCTTCTCCGAGTAAGGCTTGGAATTTTGGTGGTGGAGGGGGCAGAGGGAGTCTAGGAAGGATTTGAGGAAGAACAAAATGTTAGAGCAGGGTCCCCTGGGGAGAACTAGGGGCTCTGATGGTCCTGTCTTCACAGTACTCTGGGGAATTCGTTCAGTCTGCGTACCTGTCCCGCCGCCTTGCCTACTTCTGTACACGGAGATTGGCCCTGCAGCTGGATGGTGTGAGCAGTCACTCATCTCATGTTATATCTGCTCAGTCAACAAGCACTCTACCCACCACCCCTGCTCCTCAGCCCCCAACTAGCAGCACACCCTCGACTCCCTTTAGTGACCTGCTTATGTGCCCTCAGCACCGGCCCCTGGTTTTTGGCCTCAGCTGTATCCTACAGGTAGGTACAAGGCAGGCCCAAGAAAGCATTGAGAGATAACTTGAGAAGAATCAGGTGCCCGTTCCAGAGAATAGGGGTAATTTCAAATTGGATATGGGAGTAGGTACTGAGTACATGTTTTGAGGTGGTTGTTTCTTGGTAATGGGGTGTTAGTTCCCTTTGGAGGTTTTGACCAGCCTCTCTCTCCCTTCCAGGGCCAAATAGTGGGCCCAAAACCTTTTAGGAAAGTGAGTGAAGGGAGGGGATCAGGGGTAGAGTGATGTCTGTCTTGGGGACCCAGTCAGAAAACTGGATCTGAAATCTATGGGTTGGGTCTTAGCATGGGATTCCAGAGAGGTAGCCATGGTGAATGAGTTGGACTTAGCTGTTTCTGTCTGGCAGACCATCCTCCTGTGTTGTCCTAGTGCCCTGGTGTGGCACTACTCACTGACTGATAGCAGAATTAAGACCGGCTCGCCACTTGACCACTTGCCTATTGCCCCCTCCAACCTGCCCATGCCAGAGGGTAACAGTGCCTTCACTCAGCAGGTATGTCTGACCACTAGCCTGGTACTCTCAGATTGGGCTATGAGGCTAAATTACTCTTTCAGAAATAGTGATTTGGAGTCTGGTACTATTCTTCTAGCCTGGGACTCTGGCCTTTTGTATTCCTTGGTACATCCTTATAGCCTTCCTTTTGAATACTGCAGGTCCGTGCAAAGTTGCGGGAGATCGAGCAGCAGATCAAGGAGCGGGGACAGGCAGTTGAAGTTCGCTGGTCTTTTGATAAGTGTCAGGAAGCTACTGCAGGTATGTGTCAGAAAACAGATAATAGGAAGTATGTTTGAGGAAAGGATGGGGGATAGTGAGGACATGTAGATCTGAGAGCCAGAATGCACCGGGCCTCTTGTTCAGTCCCCTTTACCATGTTTCCTCCTTAGGCTTCACCATTGGACGGGTGCTGCATACTTTGGAAGTGCTGGATAGCCATAGTTTTGAGCGCTCTGACTTCAGCAACTCTCTTGACTCTCTTTGTAACCGAATCTTTGGATTGGGGCCTAGCAAGGATGGGCATGAGGTAAGCAAGAAGCAGAATAGAAGGAGCAAATAGCATCACAAGGCCAATAACATGTATGAGGGGAAGTCATGGTGAGGCACTGCAACCAGAGCATTTCTGCAGAAATTATCTCACTGGATCCAGGATGTTTTATGATGGGGCACAGTCTTTAGGAAATTGGAACTCAGTTCTTTGTCCCTACCCCTACCTTACTCCTTCCTGTCTTCCTTTGGTCTCCAGATCTCCTCAGATGATGATGCTGTGGTGTCATTGCTATGTGAATGGGCTGTCAGCTGCAAGCGTTCTGGTCGGCATCGTGCTATGGTGGTAGCCAAGCTCCTGGAGAAGAGACAGGCAGAGATTGAGGCTGAGGTTAGAGGGCAGAGATAAGAGAACAAGATTGGCCAGTGGGAAGGAATTTAACTGGGGTTGGAGACTGAGAGATTGAGGTGGTAGAGGGACCAGAGTTGAAGGTGCGAGAACAGAGTAAAGAAGTGGAAGAGAACCTAAAGGCGAAGTTAGGACGTGAGGCAAAAGTAGAGAGGAGCGGATTGTTGTCAAAGTTAGAGATGACATCAAGGCTTCAGTTGGGAGGTGGTAAAGAAAATGGAGGTCATCGGGGGAGTGAAAGTGAAAAGCGTGGGGTAGAGGTCAAGCAGGTGATAGTTTAAGGCTTATGCATTGAGGAGTGAAGAAGCAGGTAAAAGTAAGTTCTACGATTTGTTCTGTCATCTTGCAGCGTTGTGGAGAATCAGAAGCAGCAGATGAGAAAGGTTCCATCGCCTCTGGCTCCCTTTCTGCTCCCAGTGCTCCCATTTTCCAGGATGTCCTCCTGCAGTTTCTGGATACACAGGCTCCCATGCTGAGTACGGAACCCTGCCACCCTCTAGTTATATCTGTCTAGATTCAGTTACCCACAACTGTTGTCAGAAAGCATAATTAATGGCCCTTTGGTCTGTATTTCTCTCTTGGGCTCTATGCAGAATGACTTTTAGATGTAGTTCTAATTATTCTCTTTAACTGACCAACTTATATTTAAACAGAATAGAGAAATACAGAGAAGGATAAAAATAAGAGCTTGTGATTGAAGCATTTTCACTGCGTAAATCGCAGCAAAGATGATACATTCCTTTCTGAGGTGGTGTGTGGGGTAACCAGCCACACTTCCTCCCTCGACAGTTTCTGGGATTTTTATTTGGCCACTCCTATTTTTGCCTTAGGTGTGTTCTCTCTTTTGGCCCACCTTTTTGTGTTCTCCTAACTCATGTTTCCTCATTCCCTTCCTCCAGCGGACCCCCGAAGTGAGAGTGAGCGGGTGGAATTCTTTAACTTAGTACTGCTGTTCTGTGAACTGATTCGACATGATGTTTTCTCCCACAACATGTATACTTGCACTCTCATCTCCCGAGGGGACCTTGCCTTTGGAGCCCCTGGGCCCCGGCCTCCCTCTCCCTTTGATGATCCTGCTGATGACCCAGAGCGCAAGGAGGCTGAAGGCAGCAGCAGCAGCAAGCTAGAGGTGAGTGGGCTTTTCTCTGCCCTAAGTCGTTTCTTCTGACATTTCCATCTTCATGGCCCCCAGAGGCCTCTGAGAGCCTCTTTTGCCTGGGGGTGGGGGGTAGTATTTTCTTAGGACTTGGTGATTGAGCAAGCACTCTCACATCGGTTGTTGCATCGGCTCCTCCCATCAGCCCTGTGAGGTACTCTTATCACTATTTTCAAGCTGAAGGAAACGGAGGCCTATACTGGTTAAGTGATTGCATGAGGCTTGACTCCAGATCCTGTGCTTTCCCCAATCTGGTCTTCTCTCCAATTCCCTCATGAAGTTTTCTAGATTGTGGGAGCCACTCCCTAAGGGTTAAAAAGCAACTTCACATATATTCTATGCCCTCAGGATCCAGGGCTCTCAGAATCTATGGACATTGACCCTAGTTCCAGTGTGCTCTTTGAGGACATGGAGAAGCCTGATTTCTCAGTAAGTTCAATCCTGAGCGTGGTGGAATCTGGCTCCTTGGATCTTCCATTATGTCTGCTTTTGGCATTTCTTTATGCCCCTCATCCCCTTTTCTTCGTCTTATGTTCTGCCTTTTTACCTTTCTCTCAGTTGTTTTCCCCTACTATGCCCTGTGAAGGGAAGGGCAGTCCATCCCCTGAGAAACCAGATATCGAGAAGGAGGTGAAGCCCCCACCCAAGGAGAAGATCGAAGGGACCCTTGGGGTTCTTTATGACCAGCCACGACATGTGCAGTATGCCACCCACTTTCCCATCCCCCAGGTACTCTTCCCCAGCACATTGTGATGATCTGTTTTGAACCCAGATTTCTGTCCAAGGAATTTGCTAAGGGGTTGGAGCTGTTCCTGAGGATGTCAGTTGGGAAAGAAAAGGGGCTTGAGCATGTGGATGCTGAGGGATGTGGAGCATGATTTCAAGAGGTGGGAAGGAGATTGAGTGCTGGAGTCTGACGGTGCTGCTGGGATACAGGAGGAGTCATGCAGCCATGAGTGCAACCAGCGGTTGGTCGTACTGTTTGGGGTGGGAAAGCAGCGAGATGATGCCCGCCATGCCATTAAGAAAATCACCAAGGATATCCTGAAGGTTCTGAACCGCAAGGGGACAGCAGAAACTGGTGGGTTTTAGGCTCCTTAAACAGATCTCCCCCAAAGAGTGCCCTAGTCAGTCTTCCCTTCCCCAGCATAGGGAACTCCCCAGTCATGTCCCAATGTCCTGTCTCTTGGAGTCTCCTGAGAGCTCTAGTCCTTTTGAAACTTCCCCCCTCATTCCCCCCCTCTACAGACCAGCTTGCTCCTATTGTGCCTCTGAATCCTGGAGACCTGACATTCTTAGGTACCTCACAGTAAGCCCCATACTGCCCTCCCTCCCTCTCCCTTCCCTCCCTCAACCTAGCACCTCCCTGTATATATTCCTCTAAGGTCCACATAGTCTGTGGTCCTCTAAACCTTTGCTTCACTGTCCCCTTCCCTTCATCCCTCCCCCATCCCTTCCTTGACCCTCCCTTCCCGGCTTCCCTCTTCTTTCCCTCCCTCCCTTCCTCCTTCCCTGTCTCCCTCCCTCCCTCCCTCCCATAGCTTTCTCTCCATCCCCTCCTCCCCACCCCTAGTCAACTAGTTATCTTCCCTGTCTTGACTGATCCCTTTCAACTGTCCCCTCAGGTGGGGAGGATGGGCAGAAGCGGCGACGCAACCGGCCTGAAGCCTTCCCCACTGCTGAAGATATCTTTGCTAAGTTCCAGCACCTTTCACATTATGACCAACACCAGGTCACAGCTCAGGTGTGGGCCTAAGCCCAGCCCCTTTCCCACATTGTGGCCTCCTGTCCTGTTTTCCTTTTCTTCCCTATCTTCTCCTGCTAGGCAGGCTAAGCCTCCTGGTCTCATCCTCCTCCACTGTCATCCTTTCCTGCTTCCCTGGTTCTTCCTTCCTCTCTCCACTCCCGTCTCACTCCTACTGCCCTTATCAGGTCTCTCGGAATGTTCTGGAGCAGATCACAAGCTTTGCCCTTGGCATGTCATACCACTTGCCTCTGGTGCAGCATGTGCAGTTCATCTTCGACCTCATGGAATATTCACTCAGCATCAGTGGCCTCATCGACTTTGCCATTCAGGTGGGGAAGTTGGGGAGATGAAAGTGGAGGAAGGAGTTCGTGCTATGTAGGGGTTACAGAGGGTCATAAGGACAGGGGTAGAGGCTCCAGCCGGTTTCCCAGGGTATTTGGAGGGGGAGAAAGACTAGCACAGCGAGAGTGGAACATGAGCTAAGACTGCAGGAATAGAGACTTAAGTGCTCCCTGGGGAGGCCAAGAGACAGATTAGAGCACTGGGGACAGATCATCCTTCCACTGTGGAGTTCATAGAACTGTATCCTGGATGCTGGTTAGAGGTGTTGTTGATAGAATAAAGGACTGTGGCATAGGGTAATGGGCCCTTCTATCCTGAGGTGGCTCCAGCAGGAAGGGGCTCAGGCCCAGCCTTGTCAGCGTCCCTACAAGAAGGTGGGTTCTATGTTACATGAGGGACCTCTTTGCATTTCTCACCCCCGTTCACTCTGCTAGCTGCTGAATGAACTGAGTGTAGTCGAGGCTGAGCTGCTTCTCAAATCCTCGGATCTGGTGGGCAGCTACACTACCAGCCTGTGCCTGTGCATTGTGGCTGTCCTGCGGCACTATCATGCCTGCCTCATCCTCAACCAGGACCAGATGGCACAGGTCTTTGAGGGGTAAGCAGGGCTTCGGAATGACTGAAACACACAAGGCTCTGGCAAATGCCAGTGGAAGTGGCCTAGGAAGAGCATGCACTTCCTCCCACTCTGGGGAAGTGCCTGCTGCTCAGGTGGGAAAGGAATGGTATTTCCCAGACGCTTGAATCTGTTTCAAGGGGCCCGAATACCATCTGCCGACCCTCCTAACCTTGCTTCTTCATGCAGGCTGTGTGGTGTCGTGAAGCATGGGATGAACCGGTCCGATGGCTCCTCTGCAGAGCGCTGTATCCTTGCTTATCTATATGATCTGTACACCTCCTGTAGCCATTTAAAGAACAAATTTGGGGAGCTCTTCAGGTAAGAGAGGTAGAAGGTAAGGGGTAGCAAGTGGGACCTACTCCCTTCTTCCCATGACCACCCAACCCAGAAGGAGAGCATGGCCTGGGACCCTGCTGCCTGTTCAGGGTCATTTACGGACTGTGTCCTCCACGTACTGTTATGTTACTGAGAGTGGGCCCTCTTCCTCAGTAGGCTTGTCCCCCAATCTCTGTGGGGCCCACCCTCTTCCCTCTCTTCCTCATTGCCTTCAGCGGCCCCTGTTCCTTATTCCCATGTGGTTCCTTTCCTGCCCAGTCTGTTTTGTCCTATCTCCCTTTTCTTGTCCCAAGATCCTTCATCCCTCACTTTCTCCTTTTTTCTTTTCTCCCCTTTCCTAACCATCCTTCAACCTCAGCAGACCTTCTTCAACACTACTGTTTCCTTTCCTCCATCCCTGCAGTGACTTTTGCTCAAAGGTGAAGAACACCATCTACTGCAACGTAGAGCCATCGGAATCAAATATGCGCTGGGCACCCGAGTTCATGATTGACACTCTAGAGAACCCTGCAGCTCACACCTTCACATACACGGGGCTAGGCAAGAGTCTTAGTGAGAACCCTGCTAACCGCTACAGCTTTGTCTGCAATGCCCTTATGCACGTCTGTGTGGGGCACCATGATCCCGATAGGTATGGGGCGTACTAAGTGAGCAAGGGCACCATGCCCCCACCTGAGATAGGGAGGGCTGAGGTACCCGGGAGGTACTACAACCTTGATTTACTGGGGCAGAGATGAGAAGTTAATGGGTCTGAGGTTTTGTGGAGCAAGGTTTTTCCTGAGGGCATTTGTACTTTTCCCTAGGGTGAATGACATCGCAATCCTGTGTGCAGAGCTGACCGGCTATTGCAAGTCACTGAGTGCAGAATGGCTAGGAGTGCTTAAGGCCTTGTGCTGCTCCTCTAACAACGGCACTTGTGGTTTCAACGACCTCCTTTGCAATGTCGATGTGAGACTTGGGGTGGGGTCTTGCTAGTGGGGCAGTGACCAGGGCAGGGGTCTAGTCATGATCCTCTGACCAGGGCAGAGTTCCATAGAGTGGAGGCACACAGCTTTGAGTGGGTGCCTCTCTCCACACTGAGTCATGGTGTCTGTCTGCTTTTTCCTCCAGGTCAGTGACCTGTCTTTTCATGATTCGTTGGCTACTTTTGTTGCCATCCTCATCGCTCGGCAGTGTTTGCTCCTGGAGGATCTGATTCGCTGTGCTGCCATCCCTTCACTCCTTAATGCTGGTGAACTACCAATCTGTAACCCCTAGCATTTCTAGGCCTCAAATTTCAATACATACTGGACGGCCATCCTCTCATTGTTCACTGTGGGAGACCTTGCAGCGGCTCCCTGGCCTTCCCGAGAAGGCCAGTCCTTTGGTATGCTGAAGGCTAGAAGGAACCTGTTTTTTTAAACCCTGGATTTGCAGCCCTGACCTTTCCAATTTCTGACCCTTCAACTGCGTGACAGTTCTCCACTGTACCTCATTTTCACAGTTATCTTGCTTTTTCTCCTTTCACTTTACCTCATCTTCTCTCCTATGCTCCTGCCATACACTTCCATGCATGCAGGCATGTACACACATAAACCCACGTAGAGTTCAGCTTCATCCATCGCAGATCTGTATTGTCTTCCTTTTAGCTTGTAGTGAACAGGACTCTGAACCAGGTGCCCGGCTTACCTGCCGCATCCTCCTTCACCTCTTCAAGACACCGCAGCTCAATCCTTGCCAGTCTGATGGAAGTAAGTGACCCTGATCTGAACCAACCAACAGTAGAAAGTGTGGCTCCCTTGCCCCTGTGGATTCTGCTCCTGCTTCCCCTGACTTCATCGCCTTCCCCAGACAAGCCTACAGTAGGAATCCGCTCCTCCTGTGACCGCCACCTGCTGGCTGCCTCCCAGAACCGCATCGTGGATGGAGCTGTGTTTGCTGTTCTCAAGGCTGTGTTTGTACTTGGTATGGGGGTAGAAAGGGAGTGGTGCCAGAAGTGTGTATAGGGTGGAGTGCCAGCTAAACTACAAGGGACAGTCTTTCTCCCTCCTGAAGGTGGTCTCTCTGACCTTTTGGGAGGAGGGGAGGGACAGAAGTATATTTCTGTCCCATAGGGCAGGATTTGGGGTGTTTCTGCCTCTGTGGGCCCAGGGTGGGTCTCCACACAGTGTTCCAATCTCATTCTGCCCTCCCTATCTCCCACCCGTGAACCACAGGGGATGCAGAACTGAAGGGTTCAGGCTTCACTGTGACAGGAGGAACAGAAGAACTTCCAGAGGAGGAGGGAGGAGGTGGCAGTGGCGGTCGGAGGCAGGGTGGCCGCAACATCTCTGTGGAGACAGCCAGTCTGGATGTCTATGCCAAGTACGTGCTACGCAGCATCTGCCAACAGGTCAGTCTCACCTTCCTCCCACACCTCCAAAATGCCTCTGTGTAATATAGTCCTGTTTCCAGCCCGTGATCATACCACCTCCTACTATACATTGTGTCCCTTACCAATTCCAGCCATCCCCCATATTGCTAACTCCCTCACTGGTTGCTCCCAGTCCCTGATTGTCAGCTTTCTCAGGAATGGGTAGGAGAACGTTGCCTTAAGTCACTGTGTGAGGACAGCAATGACCTGCAAGACCCAGTGTTGAGTAGTGCCCAGGCACAACGCCTCATGCAGCTCATCTGCTACCCACATCGACTCCTGGACAATGAGGATGGGGAAAACCCCCAGCGACAGCGCATAAAGCGCATTCTCCAGGTAGACCAAGGCCAAGGGGGCCATGGAGGAAGCAATGGGCCCAATCTGGCGAGAAACAATAGGAACCTTGAGAAAAGGAGAGGGAGAGTTAAGTAGAGAGGAAGACAAACAAGGATGTAGGGGAGAGGAGGGGTAGTGAGAGAACAGCTCCAGCATTGGGCTGAGGAGTAAGTCCAATATGGTCTAGACTCCAGAGTAAGAGTGTTATGTGAGGGCACAGCTATCTGGAGTGAATCTAGCTTATCAGTGGGAAGCATAGCATCTGGGGGGCCTAGGTGTGGGTCTTGTATATTGGCATTTTGGCCATGGCTCAGGAACTGAATAGTAATAGCTACTAATTGCTGAGCACATGTTTTGTGCCAGGTACTGTGCTAGGCACCTGCACAATTTCCTCATTTAATCTTATGACCATATGAAGTAGGTGAGCCCTCCCTGTTTGACTGATGAGGAAACTGAGGCTTGAAGAGGTTAAGTTAACTTGTCCAAGGTCACATAGCTGATAGGTTTAGAGTCAGCCCAGACATGTCTGTGCACTTTTCACTTCACATTGCTCCACATCTTCAGATGACTGGAGAATGGAAAAATAAAGCCGTTGAGGAAAAGCTTAAGGAATAAGGTCTCTTCAGCCCAGAATAGATAGGGCTGAAGAGAGATTAGCTAACAGTAGCTTCTAATCTCTACAGGACTTTGAGAGATTGTCTTATAAAGGTCCTGTCAGGGACTTTCAGCAGCTAGTCTAAAACAAGAGGAGCAGGCTTCAACTTTAACATCAAGGGTTTCAAGGTTAAGCATTAAGCAGAACTTCCTGATATAAAGGGATGGGAAAGATGTGAAATCTTTCCTGAACCATTTAAAAATTGAGAAGATTTTCAGCTAGTTTGGACTAATGTATTTTTTCTTTTCTTTTCTTTTTTTTTTTTTTTT